ATCCTACCAAATCGCAAGCTCTCATTGTTGGTGGCAGATATTTTCTTAATAAACTGCAGTCTCCTCCACCAGTCTTATACGATAACGTTGCCATATCATATACTACTTATGTCAAGAACTTGGGTGTCCTAATGGATTGTCATTTGTCCTGGGGTCTACACATTGCAGAAGTAAGCAGGAGGGTGTTTCACTCGTTTCAATCACTCAAACGTCTCCAGAAGTTCCTGCCTTTTTCAACAAAAATTACTCTTGCTCAGTCGCTCCTTCTCCCTTTACTAGATTATGCTGATGTCTGCTTCCTTGATGCGACTGAGGAACTTCTTGACAAACTCGAACGTTTGCAGAATCTGTGCATCCGCTTCATTTTCGGCCTTCGGAAATACGACCATGTGTCAGAATTTCGGAGTCGTCTGAAGTGGCTGCCTATTCGAAAGCGTCGAGATGCTCACATTCTCTCTTTCCTCTACTCTCTTCTCCACAATCCCTACTCACCAAGCTATCTTCGGGAACGCTTTGAATTCCTCGTTCCTAGAGGCAAACCCTGTCGCTCCTCTTCATCTCTTCTTCTTCGTGTCCCTCCTCATACTTCGAGCCGTTATGATGGATCCTTCACTGTTCGTGCTGGGAGGCTTTGGAATTCTCTCCCTCACACTATACGCGAGAGCTCATCGTTAGATGTTTTCAAGGAACGAACCAGGGAACATTTACTGTCAACATGACTATATATGTATGTATTTATATATGTATATATTGTATTTTTATGTATTATGTTTATATATTTTAGCTTTATTATATTATATATATTTATTGTCCTTATATATCTTTTTATTGTTATAGTGTTTATATTTTCTCAGTAATGTGTTGTTGCGCACTTATGACTTTACCCTTCCATATCCAATCTCTCTATCGCTCTAAGGTTTGCTGTTAGAGAACCCAACTCTGGGTTAAGCTCGCCTTTGTACATATTTTTTTTTTTTTAATTGTATTTTTATAAATGTATGTGTGTGCAATAAAGTATAATAATAATAATAATAACCCGCAGGGCACCTTGAGGCGAGGTGACGGGAATTAGCGATCCCGCGGGCTACCATCATCCCGATTGCTCCAGGGAGAAGTCACCGTTCCTCATCTCCGGCTTGCCTTCATTGGCTGGCCGGAGTGGACGATGACGAGGAACAGGTCTCCCACCTCTGGCTTGCCTTCATTGGCCGTCCAGAGTGGAGTCGCGAGAGTAGTGATCCTGCTCGGAGGGTGGAAGCTGTTCGTAAGCGGCGAGTGGGCCAGTGATGCAGGATGCTTAGGCAGATGCAGATGATCTGAGTAGAAAGCTGGTGGCAGTTTCTTCACCCTTCAGCCACTCACATTTCCGTTGTCCCTCTGTTGCTATTACTAGCAACCATTCCCGGGGGCCCGGTCGGTGAGTTGGCGAGTCTCCACCTGCCATTTTTACGTGTATTTATTACATTGTTTCGGCAGGTGCCATAGTCCTTCCATAGTTCCCATCATACCAGTCCATAACAACCCACACCCATAGTCTTATCCCTTGTTTCCATTATCCGCAATAGTCCTACACTAACCGGAGACTGTCCTTGGGTGCATTTCCATAGTGCATACAGGGATAGTCGCCGGTTAGTGTCCCATTTCATTTAGATTAAAGTTGTCTAAAGGGCCTCTGCGCAGTTGGCTCCGGCCCCTCGTACGCCTTCCAAATGACCAGGACCCTGTGGTCCCGTGATTGGTAAAGACATACAAATAATAATAATAATAACTCTCCAGTCATTTTATCTTCCAGGACGTTACAATTCAGTGGCCGACAGCTTGTCGAGAAGCAACACTTTACCAGATTGGCATCTAAGGGAGGAGGTCACTGGAAAAATATTCTCGAGGTGGGGCACCCCTCAGATAGATCTGTTTGCCACGAGTCAGTCAACAGTAGTTCCAGTGTACGTCTCATTAGAGGCAAGGGATACCCAGGCTCTTTACATAAATGCATTCAGCCGAATTTGGAATTACCATTTAGCCTGGGTATTTCCCCCTCCACCGCTTATACCCAGAGTTCTTCACCATCTCAACAGAGCATCCGGGACGTACCTAGTAGTTGTCCCACGCTGGGAATCGGTATTTTGGAGAAACGACCTCAAACGCAGAGCATTAGAAGCCCCCTACCAGATATTCAACCTCAACAAGAATCTAGTGGACCTGTCAACCAATCAACCACCACAAAAAGTAGCAGAGTTGTTTTTAGAGGTCTGGAAGATACGGGGTGGAGCAAACTGGTAACAGGACTAGACCCTAATGATATTGAATTAATTCAGTCTGCTTGGCGGGATTCCACATGGCGAACATACGGGGCAGCGTGGAAACAGTGGGTTACGTGGTGTGGACAAAATGGTATAACTCCTAGCTGTCCTCGACCCCAGGAAGTAGCAACTTATTTGGGGTACCTCTCACGCATTAGAAAATTAGCCCCTGCTACAATTTTAGTGCATAAATCAGTAGTAGTTACTTTAGCAGACCCCACTCAGGAGAATCGGCTAGCTAGCCATCCCTTAGTGGTTGCCATGTTAAAGGCAATTAACATTCAAAGATGTTCAATGACAGTACCAAAGTCGCGGATTTGGAATGTTAATGATTTAATTCAGTGGTTGAAAATGAACTTACCTGATAGAAATAGTATTTATCAGGTGTCAAGACATTTAGCCATACTTCTTTTGTTAGCGTCTGGACGTCGTATTCACGACCTTACTCTTTTGAGCATTGATGACAGACACTGTGAAATATGCGATTCATCGATAACCTTCTGGCCCAGATTTGGTTCAAAGACTGATAACGCGAAATTTCGCCAATCAGGGTGGCATCTTACCTGTTCAGGAGACCCAAGTTTGAGCTTAGTTAAATGGGTAAGATGTTTGATCGAATTATCAAGTAAAAGAAGAAGGGCACGTACTGATTTGCATCATCTGTTTATAACGACCCATGGGGTAGTAAAAGCGGCCTCAAGAGCCACTATCGCCGGTTGGTTAAGGGTGCCTTTTACCGAACTGGGGATAACCAATAGTCCAGGTTCGATTCGATCAGCTGTTGCCTCTCATCATTTTCAAAATTATATAGCTCTAGACGACATTCTGAAAAGGGGGAACTGGAGAGGCTCTGATAATTTTTTCAAGCATTATTGCAGGCCGGTAAGCCAACCTAGAAATAGTGATGTCAACCCTCTTAGTGATTCGTTTACAGCAATGTAACTGGGCTTGTTAGTTCTTAAGACGATTGTTATAACTTATGTGATAATATTAAGACTGATTGTCACTGTTGGATCTCATTATTTTGTTTATTAAATTAGAGAAAATTATTTTTTAAGTTGAGTTGGCTAGGTAGCCTAAAATAGTTGTCAGCTTATGACAAGTTCTTATGTCAAGATACTGTTGTTTTATTGTAACACATTACCCTATCACAGTACGCTTTACCGCGCCGGCAGAGGATAGACACGTCTCCGAAAGGTCAAGCCGAAGGCACAGACCTGAAATATAACCGTTTTCCCCCCAAAGGGAAGAAAACGAGTATTTCAGATCTTGCCGAGGCTTGACCTGAGCAAGTTCTTGCCGGCTTTCGGAGCTAGGTACTAACAAGAGCGCGCTCACTCCTCGCGCGCCTGCCGCCGCCGCGTCTCGCGCATGCGCGACGACGCAAGGAGATGCTCGCTAAGCAGGTTGCACTCACACAAAGGATAAAGAAGGTAAGTAGTAGCCATGTGTGTACTCTAATGTAGGGGTAGTTATCTCCGAAAGGTCAAGCCTCGGCAAGATCTGAAATACTCGTTTTCTTCCCTTTGGGGGGAAAACGGTTATATTTTTAAGATCTGTATGCACCATATACTGAGAAATAAACTATATTTCTTTATTTATTATTTAAAAAATTATCAAATCTTTTTTCCGAAGGCCGCAAGGAAAATCCGTCTGGTAGTTTTTGGGTTTATCACGCGCGTATAATATAATATAGTTAAAAAAGTCAAAATAATAAAAAAAATCAATTACTGAAATGGTAATCGCAGATAAGTATTATAAACATATTAAAATCGCTTGCTTGCGAAAAATGGACCTTAATGACTAAGACGCAAAAAAGGATTTCCTTACAGATACACACGAAAAAGGACTTCTTTTTGAAATATGAAACAATTAGGTACAATCGTTTTTTAATTTCCTTAACATATCCAGACTGCTTTGCACCTTCCAGAAAAACAATAACGTTTCTATATTAGGTATTACCAAAATACTATCAACAATACTAACTGTTCTATTGATACAATCTCTATTATAACACTTTGTGACACCGAATTGAATACCAAAAGTAACTGATATAATAGGTTCCAACGACCTATAACGGTTTAGACGTATGATAGTATTCTATTGTAATATTTGTACGAGTATATTCTTAACTATTGTTCCACCGAATTAGTCTGATATTCAATGTTTTATTTACATTGTATCAAAACAATACGGCAAAGCGACATTGTTTATATATTTTTTTGCTAATGAAAATTGTACTACACACTAATCAAATATTTTTTAGCTTGTAGATATATTGTTAAAATCAAGGATCGTGTACTATCAGCAGTCATTTAAGTTATTTTTTCTTTAGCTATGAATTGTTTTTTTAACATAAATCGATACATAGTTTGTTTTTGTTTTGCTTTTTTGATGTGGTGTGACGTGTTTGCCAAGGAGTCAGATTCAAGGATGGTAAGCAATCAACGCTGCTCTTGGACACCCGTAGCACCGGGAGAGTTATGAGTGCGATTGGGGTTAAGATTTCGAAGATTTTAGGATCATGAAGGGATTTAAATTGGGCCTCTGGTTATCCCACTTACACAGCGAAACATAAGGCTGTGGTTGTTTCATGTCAAATGTTAAAGTGACACCACGGCCTCACAGAAAACCGATTGAGCCATTCTTGCCAAGGCTCTTCTACACTTAATTAAATAATATATTATCCTTCTTTCTTAGGTCAAAAGTTCGCGATGATGGAACTCAAGATCACCATCTCGGAGATTATCAAGCACTTCTACATATTACCGTCAGCTCAGGAACCAGAATTGAGTGCAGACCTGGTTTTGAGGTCTAAAAACGGAGTCCAAGTGAAATTGATGCCAAGAAAGTAATATGTGATAATATGAGATAAATGCGGTGTTGTGAATTAAGTAATTAGGATAATTCTAAATATATATTTTTGTACTTAAAAAGTGTTGAGTCCATACAGTACGATGTACATTGTTTTGTAATATGGGAAGGAATAAATAATTTAAGTGAATTGTTTTTTCATTTTCTATTTCACATTCTGTAGAAATTTCCTTATGATTTATAGGCCTACTGTTGAGCAAACGCTCACACAGAATAGGTTTGAATTCATTAATCAAGGCGGACTGGCGATTTCAAAATTATAATTAGGAATTATAAGTCTAGATTTTCACCACCGACCTTCACCGTCTAAATAATCATATAAAGTATATATAGCATGGAAAAAGTCACATTAGTATTTGCCAAGTTTTGAACCATATCCCTCGTATATGAGAAGCGGGAGTCTTAACCTCCGAGGGTACCACGAGAGGACGCACTCAAACTAATAAATATTATCTGGTTTATTCTCAAGTCGTATACCCGAGCCCGAGCTCTATGTATAATCAGTAAAGTTACTTGGTATAATGCTGGGTAAAAATAAAACTGTCATAATACTGAAATAAAGGTTTATTTTTCTCCCTCAATTAATTTGGTTGATAATTTTGTCAGGAAAAATATAACCTATAAAGAAAAATATAACTTACAAAGGAAATATAACTTATAAAGGAAAATATTACCAACTTTTTAAGTACATACACAATAAAAAAGTCAGAAGTTGCACCACGTCATTTGTACCTGAACTCAATCTAGTACAAACTCAACCATAACGATTGTGGTCAGAAATTGTTTAGCGGTTTCCGAGTATGCACTATTCATACTAACGTACACATTCATTAGTTCGAAGTCTAGCATGACATGGCTAAAATGGCGTACCTAAACTTGTTGGGAGATATTTTCCTCGTAACGTGTGTTTACTACATAAATGGTACCTTGTTTATTGTGTAGTTTGTGGCAAACAACCTACTTTGAATTGCCAATGTGGTTCATACGCTGTGCATTGTGTGTGTTATTTTTTTATGTGATGGATCGGCAAACCAGTAGACGGATTACCTGATGGTAAGCAATCAGCACCGCCTATGGACATCCGCAACAAGAGAGGAGTTACGAGTGCGTTGATGCCGACCCTTTAGGGATTAGGAATTAGAGAGATTTAGGGATTGGGGAGGGATTTAGGGTTGGGAAGGATTAGGCCTCCGGTAACCACACGGCAAAACACAACGCTGTGGTTGTTGCACGCCGGTTTTCTGTGAGGCCCGTGGTATCACTCCGGTCGAGCCGACCCATTCGTGCCGAAGCATGGCTCTCTCAAACTTAATTAGTCATTTAAGTAGAATTTGAGGTTTCTAGTCAAGGCTTTGAATGCAAGCCCAGCAATACACAGGAGCCTGGTTAGAAGTAGAAGAAGGACTGGGTGGTTTTTCTCTTGCTTCGTCCAGAGTGGGAAAGCCATTAGATGATTCTCCACCCACCCAAATAATATCCGGGGTTGCGGGGTAAGCGCAATGAGGCATCGCGGCCTCGGCCTACAGCAGGAGAAGGAACGAAGGGGTTTTGAGTCAGTAAGAGTCTGACACTCCCTCTCGCCTCACCCTGGGCGAGAGAAATCATTTGATGATGTTCCCCAGACAATAAAAACCCACAAAACATTAATATTCGGGGTTAATTGCGTAAAGTTACTTAGTCAACACACCATTCTAAGATTAACAATAAATAAGCACTAGATCGTTTACAAATACCGTTAAAAAGATCATAATCTGGGTTTAAATATGAACTTTTAATTAATTGTCTTAAGAGTTATTTTTTATAAGAAACAGGATAATAAATAATATTATGAGAATTGTTCTAACACGATTATCAACATAAATCATAATTTTAATTAAAGTAATATTATCACGGAATATTATTAATACACAGTTGTCATTAATTTATTGACTTGATTTATTCAGTTAGCATTTAGACTATAAATCTTTTTGTTCCATTATTTGTTCCGTTAGGTTGTTATAGTTACAATTTAGCTAATGCTAGTGATTTTCCGAATTTTGTCATTTATTGAATTGATTTATTTTATTTTTACTTTAAATATTATATTTCAAGATTCAGTAGCTTTTTTATGGGATAGGACGTCAAACGAGCCGACGTTATGTCTGATAGCCAGCAATTGTGCCCTTAATGGACACTCGGAACAAAAAAGGAGTTATAATTATGTTGCCGGCCTTTTTTGGTTGGTAGGGATTGGGCCTTACTTATACGGCGAAGTCCAATACGAACGATTTTTCACGCCGACATTCTATGATGTGGAGGAGGGGCCGACATTATTATAACCATATATTTTTTAAATTTTTGTACCTAGCCCAGTTTCTCGAGTGACTAAAAATCCCCCATTCAAACTTCTGTTCCAAGCATATAGGTAACAATGTACACGCGACACTAATAGTAAGCAAATCTAAAAATGGCTATAGGTTATAATAATATCCTTTATTACGTCATTATTAGTAAAATTATTACCAACTGAAACTTTATCTTAGCAAATAGTTCCAGTATCAGTATTTAAGGAGGATAATATACAACACCTAAGGAACTATCCGACTATGCCAAGACACTTAGGTATATGTACATAACTATCTAACTAGAGCCCTTTTCAAACATTGATACTTGGTAAACTAATTCCGATATATAGGTAGTTTGTAGAGGTTCAATCTTTGGGCCCAACATTTAAACGCGGCCATGTTTAGCCTCGACACATTTTGAAACCCTACACCCTTGTAATGTGTTAATTCAATTGCTTATTCTGAAGTCACACGTTAATTTTGAATTTACGAATAGGTTTTCATATTGGGAAATTGATTTCGTTAGTTTTCATAGATATTCTATTATAGACACGAAATATTCAGATTAATTGAATTAGCACCTTCAATCAGGATTGGTCAGAGAAGAGTGAAAGAAGAGTAGGGAGGCCTTTGTCCTGCAGTGGAACGACAACGGCTGATAATAATATTTAACTAATTAATATACTGAGATACCTTTGTTGTAAACGGCATACAACGACCTCGAATACCAGATTCGGTTGTGGACTCCGTCCAGTTAAAGACTAAGAAAATTCAGGACCGAAAATTAAGAATAGCCAAGGGATCTATTATTTATAATTTAATGCACACATGATGTATGTACATAAGGCAGTGAACTACACTTCTTTTCTTAGCAGTTTAGGTTTTGCCCAATAAATATGCAGTCAAATAATTAAGATCATATTTTTGTAAAAATGATAATTGAATAAGCGAATGTTGGGAATTAGCGGAGGTTTGTCAGAAAACTCAAATATCGAGTGATGCAAAAATCCTTCTTTATACATAAGTAGTTTGTGTTCACACATTGATAAATTCACTTGCACAACAGAACAATGTAATGTAGAGATTTGTATTCCGTGCATGACGTACGGGACGAGGCGACGACAACAAGATTGTGACGTGACGACACCACTGGGAATATGTTATCATATCAACAGTTTTAAACTGGTATTTTTGTGTCTGGATTCTGAACGTGAATTGCTTGAAAACTGACTGTGTCTTAAGTTTTAGTTTTCTGGTTTGTTTTAGTTCTATAAAGGTTGTTGGGAGATACACATTGAAGTTTGACGACAACATTTAATGGATGACGTCATCAATCCTACATCACGCGAAGTTTGCGCGGGATTAAACACGGATATATAATCCCAAAGTACTATTGTCAGAGCCCTCGGCGTAGAGAGCTTCGACGCCTTCGTGCAAGCGCCTGAGTACCACACTGGTTGAGCGCTCCAACCGGTTGCGAGGATTCTCCATTTCCGATCTTAGGGAACTTTACTCTCTGTTCCCTAAAATATGACACAAAAATAAAGATCCTAATATTGATTTAGAAACGTAGACCATGTTTTCTTCTGCTATACAAGGCCACGGCGGCAGAGACAATGTGTACCGGATTTTTCTGGTTCAAGAAAAGCATAACTAAGTTATTTAATTTAAGTGTGTATTATGACCATCATAAACTTCAAAACAACCATGAATGTAAAGAGAACATTAAGTTAATGAAGCTTAAGTAGACAAGTTTAATAACTGCGTGTTCGCATGGGAGACATTGTCATGTGTTAAGACATTTTGAGGTTGTCTTCATCACACGAAAAGTTTAACATTGCAAACTTAGAGTCCCTCTTTCTACTAATCTTTACGTTCTAGTTTTAATTTTTTTTGTTGAATATGTATAATAATGCGCTGAGGATGCTGTTGGGATTGCCTTGATAGAGTAGTGCGTCTGGAATGTTTTCGGGAGCCAGAGTAGATTACTTCTATGCCGCCGCATCACTGATGCACATAGCTTGCATACGCAAACAAACATGTACAGAGTATACTAGATATACTGGCAGACAAAATTAATGACCCGTTTATTCGGCACTGGGCAAGTAGATATGTGCGTCCGTTCATAAATATTAATATATTAACTAATGTTTTCTACCTAACATTTTAGCATAAGAAAACACTAATATACGGGTCTCTGGTCTTAACAAAAGAGTTAAATTTAATTTAATATCGGAGTATTAATTAGACTTTTTTGAAGCAATGTTGTAGGTTTGTTGCGTCATCAAGTCCAGGGAATATTTGTTTTTTAAGATGTAAGTCGGTCGATGAGTTGCCTGTTGCCCAATTGTAAGTAACCGGCACCGCCCATTGAACCTGCAACACCAGAGGAGATACAAGTGCATGGCCGGCCTTTTGGATGGTCTTAGTAATAGCAGGATTGGGGACGGGACAGGTCGGGAGGGGGGAGAGGGGGGGGAGGTTGTGCGATGTGCATTCATTGTATAACATCATCAGCATATAAGTGCCCACTACTGAGCAAAGCCTCTTCTCACAAGGAGAAGGTTAGAGCATTAATAACCACGCTTGCTCAATGCGGGTTGGTAATTTCAAACTTATACTAATCAGAAATTATAAGTCCTGGTTTTCTCGCGATA